AGAAGTCCTGTCGCAGCCAGGGCTTCTCTTTGCTAATCTCTGTTTATGTGCACAAATAGTGTGCCAAGGTCCTATTTTTACAGTAAAAGGGGACTTGTAGCCACACGCTGGGATTGAAGAGAGAAGGACAACTTCCTGAGAAATAGGAGAACTTAGTATCGGGGTGAAGGCCAAGGAGGAGTCGTGGATAACTTGCTGGGCATCAGACTGAGGAGGAGCCATCTCCCTAGGTGCCCTGCCCCACCCCTGGAAGAATGGAGGCTTGGGAGGGGCTGGGCCTCTGAGGGAAGATGAAGAGTTTACTTGTGGACACATACTTGAAGTATGGCCTGACAGCTGACATTGAGTCTGATCCCAGAATCAGAGGGACCTGTGGGGAGGAGCCCAGGAGTATGGTTGGAGAGTTGGACATAAGTGTCACCCAGGGACAGAGGACATGGGAGCTGAGTGAGCAGGGGAGGTTTCCAAAGCTGGAGGGTGGAAGAAGAGGAATAGAGGGTCCTAGAAGGGACATGAAAGGCTCGAAAAATCACAGTGGTAGGCTAGTTGGCAATCATTTTGAAAGTCTCATTTTCCCCACTCTGTGTTGTCTTGGGCCCCTTGTAATCCAACTCCCCACAATCCGGGAAGGTTGCTGGAAGGCTCTCGTAGGAGCATGGAGCTCGAAGAGCTGGGTTGACTCTCTCACTCCAGACGGACCACAAGGGACCCCTACTCTTCACAAAGCCCTCAGAACCAGGAAGCTCGTGCTGCTCCAACCGTGGGCCGTGCACAGCCGGGCAATTTGTTCCCCTTGCTGTTTCCGTTTCTGATTGCGACCTTGAGTAGCCCCGAGTCAGTTGTTGATGAGGACATCATTCTGTCCTGCCTCGTGCCAGCTTCCTCAGGCCTGAGACATCGATCATCCCCTGGCAATCTGGCCCCTCAGTTTGGTGTAGGCAGGTGACAGCTGAGGCTGGTCCATGCCTGACCCAGCCTGGGGCACGCTGGTCACAGCTCCACAAAATGAGTCATTTGCTGCCAGCCTGTGCCTGCTCCCTTTGCCCCTTGCAACTGTAATGCAAATGTCACCCCTGGGATCCTATTCTTGTGGGATTTTGAAAAAGAAGAAATGCCATATTGGAAAGGACATTTGTCCTTTCTCCTGTTTAAATTGCTTTCCATGGGTTCTGGAGACCTGGCCATCGATTTTCTTCTACTTTGAGCAGGTCCTGTGAAGATTTTGGCTAATTACCTTTTGGAGAAGTGCTGCTTGAATTTATCAAGGAGGCTGAAGTCTTTTCTTCTCTTCCCACATCTTGAAAAAGGCCTTTAACTTTTATTTCCAAATCTCTGCCAATACCTAGTGTGTTTGAAAGTGACTTCCCTGCAGACGACAGTGGAGGTGCCATTTGATGTCACCTTCGTGCAGCTGCAGTCTTTAAGGCAGTTGTTCCTGTCTGCAGAAAGACTTTTCTGCTTACCTAAAAGAGGTGCCATTCACACAAAGATTACATTTAAAACATACATTTCCCCTAGCATGCCTATTACTAATAACATTGCATGTTATGAAAGTGGAGGGTATTTAAGATGAAATTAAATTCGCCTGGTGTGTTACTCTGACTTTCTTGTTTTGGTACAAGGAATCGAACTCGGGTTCTTGCACTTGTTAGGTAGGCAGCAGTACCACTGAGCTAAATCCTCAGACCCTGACTTTTCTGTTCTATTTGGTGTGTGGCACAGATGCCGGCCAACCTCACTTTTTGTTTCCAGCAAGTGCACTTTGTTGTTCTTCTCATCTGGCCAGAGCTGTTGGAAGCGAATTACTAGCATATCAGGAAAAATCTAGTCTGAAATATTACTGGTGATTTCTTTTGTATTAGCTCCCAGAAGTTTATCTGCAAAAATGGAAATCCTGTTTTCTCTAGATGAGTGTCAGTGGACAGTTTTCTTTTTTCCCCCCTCTCTCTTTAAAACTTTTCTTTCAAGGAGGAGAATATAATTGTGTGGGTTCTTTCTTTAAAGCAGAATTTCTAGTGTTGGAATAGCTAACATCTTTTTTGTTGGTCTGTGAAAGGACCATGGGAGCCAGGGACGGTGGCTCAGACCTGTAATTTCAGCCACTTGGGAAGCTAAGGTAGGAGGATGAATCACAAGTTTGAGGCCAACCTCAGCAACTCGGCTATTTAAAAAAAAAAAGGGCTGGGGTGTAGCTTAATGGTAGAGCGCTTGCCTAATACACACACAAAGTACTAGTTCAACTCCCAGCCACTCCCTTCCCTCATCAAGATCTGTCTGTCGTTTGTTGTCAGTTTTTATCTGTGTGGAATGGTTGGTGTGGCTCGGTGTTGTGTCATGGAGGGGCCCTGGAAATCCACATCATCTTGACTGGGCTCAGCTGCATGTGAAAGTTCTGTTCCACTGAGCTACGTGGTCCCAGCAGGCATTTAAGCTGTTGTAACACAGATGAACACTTTGTTGAAAAGAGTTCTTCATTTTTATTCAATCTCATGATCCTTGTTATCAGCTTTGCTTACATCAGCTTATGTGTCATTTCATTTTATAGCATTTTAATGGGCTTTCCTCTCCCCTCCCCAATTTATTTCCAGCTGTGCAACCATTATAATTGGATGATAGTTGGATTTTGTAACTACCAGGACACTTTTTGAACACACTATGCCTTTCATGTGAGTGTGAGGCTCTTCAGAAATTAAAAAAAAAAAAAAAAA